AGGGGTCCCCGCGGCGCCTCCGCGCGGGGCGGCGGCCTTGCTCTCCGCCGTGGGGATGGCGCTCCCGCCGTCTCGGAGCAGCTCGGAGCTTTGCCCAGGACAAGCCTGGAGGATTAGAAGGAAAGCCGTTTGATGGTAGTTGACCCCGGGGTGAGCAGTGGGAAGAGCTGTTTCCAAACTTAGCCCCGCGAGGTCCCCTGTGGCGGTTCCTCTGCTCTGAGCGCCTCTGAATCCGCCGAGGCCGGTCTATTCCTGACGCCTCTGAAAACCTGCCTCGGGGAGCCAGGCCCGTCCTCCCTTTGAGGGGGGAATGTCTGATCTCCAAACGCTGGCCTGAAACTCTTTTCCTGTCTGGTTTTGCTGCCCTACCCCAAAAGGAAAAGCTTTTTTCTTTTAAACAAAGACTTACTGAGCTGGGCACCTTCTGCTACATTGTATGCGAGACCTTCATGAACTTGGATACACAGAAGATGTGCGGGCCGGGCGTGGCTCAGCGGTTGAGCAGCGACCTGGTATCCAGGAGATGGGGGCTCCATTCCCGGTCAGCACGTGCTGGGGGTGCGGGTTCGCCCCGCCTGGGGGCCTGCGGGAGGAGGGGAGGCAGCCGATCAGGGAGGACTCTCTCCTCACTGATGTTTCTCTCTCTGTCCCTCAACCTTCCTCTCTCTGAAATCAATAAATATATATAAGAAAGCAGATGCGATGTCCCGGGGGAAGACTGGTTATGGATGGAGCCTTATCACATCCAGAGTGGGCTGGATCCCTCAGCGTCTGCCGCTCACTCACCGCCCTGCTGGTTAGTTCTGAGCTGGAGGTGAAGTGTTTCGAGTTAGCTTTTTTTTTCTCTCATAAATGCAGAACTTTATTTTTTATCCATATTCGTTTCTGGATGGTTTCAGTTGAGACTAACTGAATCTTGGTTTGATCCCCTATGTTATGTTGTACTGGGCTGCCTTTTTTTTTTTTTTTATGAAAGTAATACAATATTATATTCTTGTAAAAGAGTCAAAATATACAAAACAAAAACAACAACCTCCTCTTGACCACCAAAGGATTGTAAACTTGGATTCCAGTGCTTTAAGAGTTTTTGAAAATATGGAATTTTTAAATAAAATAAATCTTATTTTTTAATGTTGGTAACTAATTCAAAAATTTAAAACACTGGTCAGGCTAGGCACAACGCACCTGCAAAAACAAATTTGGCCCAACGACTATCAGTTTGCAACCTCCAATACATCATCTGTTACTAAACATTTTGCTGAATTTCAGTTTTTCCTGTTCCAAACAATGCTGCAGTGGAAATGAGCTTCATTACACATTAAGTAGGTGTATTTTTCTAGGTAGAATTTCTGGGCCAAAAGAACATGTAGGCATTTTTAATTTAATTTTATTTTATTGATTCCAGAGAGGAGGGAGGGGGGAGAGAAACAGCAATGTGAAAGAGATACATTGATTGATTGCCTCCCAACCGCAGATTGAACCCAAAACCTAGGTATGTGGCCCTGACCGGGAATCAAACCCACAACCCTCCAGTACACTGGAAGATGCTCCAACCAACTGAGCCACACTAGCCAGGGTGTGGACATTTTTAATTTTAATAAATACTACTAAATTGATCTTCAGCTACAAATGTCTATGAGACCTTGTTTCTCCAAATCCTTGCCATTCTGATGGGTAAAATGGCTTTTTCAAAATTTATTTACTCGACCAACACTTATAACACCTGAGTTTCATATACTGTTCTGACTTCAAAATTTTTAAATATTTACCATTAAATCTTTACAGTAATTCTATGAGATAAATATTGTTATACCACTTTTATAGATGAGGAAATGGAGGCATAGAGAAGTTAAATAATTTCCTAGAGTCATTGAGATAGACAGCGTTAGAACCACAGTTCAAACTCAGACTTAGCTCATCTCCCTCACCTCATAGAAATAACAGCAAAGAAAAAGACTATATTTTAACTATATCTTATACATGACTATATACCTTTTTATATTTATGTATCTTTATTGATTTCAGAGAGAGGGAAAGAGAGNCTATATTTTAACTATATCTTATACATGACTATATACCTTTTTATATTTATATATCNGAAAAAGACTATATTTTAACTATATCTTATACATGACTATATACCTTTTTATATTTATGTATCTTTATTGATTTCAGAGAGAGGGAAAGAGAGAAACATCAATGATGAGTCATTGGTCAGCTGCCTCTTGCAGGCCCCTCCTGGGAATCAAACCCGCAGTCTGGCATGTGCCCTGACCAGGAATCAAACCACGATCCTGTATCATAGTTCCATGTTCAATCATTGAGCCACGCCAGCCAGGCATGACTATATATCTTAACCGCTACTTTATTGTGTATTTATGTAAACATGAAAAATGTGAGTTTAATATTCATTTAAAAGGTTCATATAGCTGTAAGCAGAGTATCTAGACAATTTTTGAATTTTGCTTCTTTAATTTATTCTAAGTGCTTTTCCTCTAAATAGTTTTAATTATTATTCAGGGATACAATATAATGGACTTAACATTATCTTATTGTTAAGATACATTTGTATTATTGTTAAGAACATTTGTATTCCTACTTTCTAANTTATCTTATTGTTAAGATACATTTGTATTATTGTTAAGAACATTTGTATTACTTCCTACTTTCTAATATNATACATTTGTATTATTGTTAAGAACATTTGTATTCCTACTTTCTAATATAGTTTTGCAAGTAACATAGTCATAGCTTTTTTTCAGTTGAAATGTTTTCTCAGGATAAATCTCTCAGTGGTCAATCAGTTCCTAAAACTCATGTGTTTCTGGCTTTTTGTTAACCACTGTTCTTCAAAACCTCCCAGCATGAACCTTGACATTTGCATTTTATAAATAGCATAGGCGAAAACACACTGTTAAGTCTAAAACGAAAAATATAATTTGAGCTCATACACAGGATTGCGTCCCCTNTTTGCATTTTATAAATAGCATAGGCGAAAACACACTGTTAAGTCTAAAACGAAAAATATAATTTGAGCTCATACGCAGGATTGCGTCCCGTGAAACATGTAGCAAAGAATCCCTCTTTAGAGCATTCCTAACCGCTCCTGTTGGCCCCTGAAACTGGACCTGTGGTATCAGTTTTTTACCTGCTCCAGGATCGGTTGACAGGATCAACCACCCTTTTTATACCACGATCTGCTGTCCCCACGGGAATGGCTGAGGCAGCGCTTCGGAAATGGGATATGGGACTTCATACCTCCCTTTGCAACAGTCAAATAGCACGTGATGCTTGCTTTAAATCAGTGATTTGTTGGCCAAGTACAATTTTACAATGGAGAAAACAAGAAAAAAGCTTAAAGAAATATAACAAAAACATTTTTGTTGGAGGGCAAGGATTGTGTCTGTGTTTGTTTACTATTGTATCAGTAGCAAGTATTTTAATGACTAGTACATAGTAGATGCTCAATAAAAATGCACTGAATGAAAGAAAGAGAAAGTGAGTTATGCCCAAGGGAGCTCCATCCTGGATATCACCAAAACTAAAGCTCCTCTGGCCCGTGGGTGGGCCACCATGCGGCGCATAGTGGAAGTATGGCCAGTTTGCGCTTCCAAACTTCCACTTGGCCTTTGCTACCTTGATTGCTGCCCCTTAAACAACTGTGTTCAGCGACCAGGTCCAAGAGTGATGATCAGGGCAGCATCTCCATTCCGGATCACTCCTCTACTGGTCTTAACCCGGTGCACTTTTCAGCTCTCGTCACCCCAAATGCTCTGCTACTCTGGCCGCCAATACACCGTCAGCTGTGGTATCTCTCAAATGAGCCTGTATGTGTGCCATACTACACTTAAAAGTTATCTGGCCCAGCCCTGCGTGGCTCAGCGGTTGAGCGTCGACCTAGGATCCAGGCGATCAGGGTTCGATTCCCGGTCAAGGCACATGCCCGGGTTGCAGGCTCGATCAATGATGTTTCTATCTCTCTCTCTCCCTCTCCTTTCCTCTCTGAAATCAATAAAGATATATTTTTTTAAAAAAAATCTGTTGCTTATCTGAGATTCAAATTTAACTGGGCATCTTGTATTTGTATTTGCTAAATCTGGAGATCCTATTTCCAACCACCATCTTGACGCCTCTCATCAGAGATTCTAGTTTTCTATCCTAAGTGGGACCAGGAGTTAGTCTTGCAGTTGGAATTTGGTCACCCCTGGGCTAGCAGCACTGAGCAAAAGGAGCAGCCAGCCCTGGACAGAGTTAGTACTGAGCTGTCTCGGGATGGCCTCTGAGACATCAGAAAAGTCAAGCTACCTGATGACCTGGAGAAAAGGCAGACAGGCAAGTACCGGCTGGCTGCCGGAGGATGGTCTGCCCCTTCATATAAAGCATACAGTTTGTGCTCTGCTTGTTTCATTTGTACGTTACCCAGAAGGAGGCTAGAGCCCGGCCGACATGGCTCAGCCACTGAGCATCGCCCTGGGATCCAGGAGATCCCGGTCCGATTCCCGGTCAGGGCACATGCCGGGGTTGCGGGCTCGATCCCCTGTGGGGGGCGTGCAGGAGGCAGCTGATCAGTGACTCTCTCATCACTGATGTTTCTCACTCTCCCCTTTCCCTTCCTCTCTATGAAATCAATAAAAATATATTTAGCCCTGGCTGGTTTGGCTCAGTGGTTAGAGTGTCAGCCCGTGGACTGGAGGGTCCTGGGTTTGATCCTGGCCAAGGGCACGTACCTTGGTTGCAGGTTCAATCCCTGGTCCCGGCCCGGGTACCTGCAGGAGGCAACCAATCAATGTGTCTCTCTCCCATCGATGTTTCTCTTCTCTCTCTCTCCCTCCCACTCTCCCTGAAAAAGCAATGGAAAAAATATCCTCAGGTAAGGAGTAAAAATATATATATTTTAAAAAACAATAAAAATATATATATTTTTTAAAAAGCTAGAGAAAGACATGAGGCAATACTGTGAGTGCTGTCTCAGGGCTGTGGGGACAAAATGGCACTGCTTGGTTTGTGTCCCCAAGTCATGACTTTCTTGTCAACACTCTCGATACCCAGCAATCAGGACTGATGCTGAGCTCTGTGAAGAGCAGACGTGAATATAATTCCGGGAAGAAATTCAGAATGAAAATACTGGATGGGAAGTCATGCAGGGGTTAAGGGTATGAGCTCAGGAGCCGGGTTTCCTGCGTTCCAGTCCAGGATCTGTCTCATCTAGCTGTGTGGTTTCAGACCAGCTACTTAACCTCTCTGCGTCTTGGTTTTCTTATCTGTAAAGTGGGGATGAAGGAGTCAACCTCAAAGGGTGTCATGAGGATTAAGTGAGATGATGCATGTAAAACACATTCAGTCCATATCAGCCACTAATATCACAGACGCAATCCTCAAAGTTAACAAAGGTGACCAATACAGAAGGACAGAGCGGGAAGTGTTCCTGGTACACGAGGTTTGGGATGTCAGGGTTCTTGGTGTTGCAGAGAATAGTAAGCCCAGCTCAGACTGGATTAAACAGCAAAGGAGATCTCTTGGCTTCTGCCCCGGGAATGTCCAGAGAGGGGGCAGGCTTCAGGAATGGTTTGAACCAGTGGCTCAGTGGCATCACCACACATGGATGTTCCTTTTGTCCCTTACTCTGCCACCCCAGTGTCAGCTGTATCCCCAGACCAGCTTTCCTCCTGGTGATGGGATGGCTGCCAGCCACACCTGGGGCTTCATGCTTCCACCTTCACTTAGAATGAGGGGAGGTTGAGGGGTTTGTCCTGGCATTACAGGTGGGAGTGCTGAGACTCACCCTGGCCAGCTTGAGTCATAGCTTCACCCCTGATCCAATCGGTGGGGCCGGGAAAATGGGTGTGCCATTTGGTGAGTTAAATGAGCCCCCTAGTGAAGCTGCAGGGAGGGGGGGTCAGTTTCTCCGAAATCACATACGCTGCTCCGGGGAGAGGCAGATTCCAGACAGAGACCTGGGTAATACTAGAAAGGGGTGTGGACGTTGGGTAGGTACTTGCTAAGTTCTAATATCTGGAATGATGGAAAGAATATGTCAGAAATATCCCTCAAAATTAAGGTTAAGCCCAGGATGGGTGAAGGGGCAACAGCGGAAACGTGGGGTGCTTGGGGCATGGCAGGAGCAGTGGATGTCCTTGGACTCCCAGACTGAAGGGCAAATCTATTAATAAAATTCCTTCCTGGCAGCCGTCTCCTAGTGTAGGCTCAAGGAAACATGTATTTAAAGGAAGGGGGAGGAAATTTTAGCCACAATGCTGCAGTAGCACAGATCTGCAAGGTCACCCAGAACGGATGCAATTCCTTAGGAGGTGAGAGAAGGTGTAAAGAGAGAAGAAGCAGAGGCTGTCCAACATCACGGGGCCCGCAGACAAAGAGGAGCTGGCAAAGAAGGCCAGGTTAGGATGGATGGAACCTAAGGAGAACCGGGAAAGAACACCATGGAAGCCAAAAAGGGGAAGAGTTTGCTCATCTCTCCAGGGAGCCAATGGCAGTGGCCTGGAATGAGTGTCCCACAGAATCCATGAAACGTGTCTGGGGTAGTGAGGAGCCCCATCCTGGCTCAGTGATGACAGTGGACTAGCCCACCAGCTTCTGATGTCTTCTCTGGACCAGAAACTCCTCTTCAGAGCCCGCTACAGATGGCACAGAGCTGCCTAGGTAGCCCTCCCCCTGATCCAGGAAGGCCACCCAACCCACACCACACTGTGCCGTAGGTGACCAATGAAACTTGGGAGGGCATTTGTTACAGCAGCTAGCATTAATCACACTGACTAATACACCGTCTGAGTAGGTGAAAGCCATAGCACGGCCCCATCCCGATCATCAAGCCTGCCCTGAAAAATGGCATTATGTCATTGGTCAACTTCAGCGGTCATGTCATGGAGACAGAGAGTCATCTGGACCAACCCTTCCATCCATCCCCCAGCAGGTAGCCATCTCTCCCCTGCCTTTGGTCTTAGGACACAATACAGATATCCTCAGAGGCTTTGGGTAGGAGTACCTGACGTCACTGCAAGATGGTAATGCCCGGTTTGGCTCTTCTCAGTCCAGAGTGGCTGGATGTGTGAAGGCAGACTTGGCATGGAGACAGGGAGATGCCAGCCAGTTTCAAACGGATGTCTGGGTTTTCCCAATCAATTCCGGCCTGCCCTCGTTTGCTCTCCTTGGCCGAGTCCACTCACCCAGCTCTCAACGCATCGCGAATGAAGAGTCTCAGCCATATTCAGGTAAAATTCCTCTGTGGTGGTGCATTCATTTCTCAGGCTGTCATAGCAAAGTTCTACAGGCTGGTATTAATATAAATTTTTTCTCTCACGGTTCTGGAGGCTGGCAGTTGGGGATCACGGTGTCAGCAGGGTTGGTTTCTCCTGACGCCTCTCTCTCTCTCTTTGGCTTGCGGATGGCCACCTTCCCCCTGTGTCTTCACACAGTCTTTCCTCTGTGTGCGTACATCCCTGGCATCTCTTTGTGTCCAAATTTTCTCTTTTTATAAGGATACCAGTCATGTTGGATCAGGGCCACCCTAACAACCTTCCTTTAACTTAAGCACCTCTTTAAAGGCCTTATCTCAAAAAAGTCACATTTCAAGGCCCTGGGGTTAGGAATCCACCATATGAATCCGAGAGGGAAACAACTGATCCTGGAAGTAGTAGGACCCATTTCATGGTGCTATTTAAGGGCAGAAAAGTCTCGTTCTGGCTGGTTTGGCTCAGTGGTTAGAGCGTCAGCCCAAGGACAGAAGGGCCCAGGTTTGATTCTGGCCAAGGGCATGTACCTTGGTTGCAGGCCCAATCCCCGGGCCCGCTTGGGGCAAGTGCAGGAAGCAACCAATGATGTGTCTCTCTCACATTGATGTTTCTCTCCCTCTCCCTCTGTTTCCCTTCCGCTCTCTCTGAAAAGCAATGGAAAAAATATCCTCAGGTGAGGGTTAAAAAAAGACCTCTTCTCATGGAAGAGTCAGATCAAGCACAGCATTCTCCTGACAGGGAGCCATGGTTGGGCTGGATGTTTTCCAGTTTTCTAGAAAAAAAAGTGAATTAGGAGAAAATCAACAGAACCTTGGGTTTGGCAATGAGTTTCTAGATACAACACCCAAAGCATTAATATCCCCAAAATTTGATAAACTTTATCAAAATTAAACACTTTGCTTTGTGAATAACATGGTAAAGAGATGAAAATACAAGTTACCCAGTGGGAGAAGGTATTTGTAAAATCATGTAAGATAAAGAACTTGTATCCAGAGTATACAAAAAAACCCAAACTGTTAAAATTCAACAGTTAAAAAAGAAAATGTTTAATGGTCAAAATATCTGAACAGACACCTCACCAAAGAAGATACAGGGATGACAGATTAGCATATGAAAAGATGCTCAACATCATTTAACATTAGGAAAAAGCAATTTAAAATGTCAACAACTTACCCATTAGGGCTAAAATCCAAGATAACCTTTATAATACCAATTACCAAAAAAATGTGGAGCAACGAAAGGTCTCTGGTTTGATTCCCAGTTAAGGGTTCCATCCCCAGTCAGGGCGCCTATGGGAGGCAACCGATTGATGTTTCTCTCTCTCTCTCCCTCCCTCTCCCTTCC